ATTAGTTCCCCAAATGAGTGGCCGAACACCCGACCGAACATGCAAGCCTTGAAAAAATCAAAGCTGTTTTAACCAAATCGAAGAGAAAAGGAAACATTCTAAAACGATTATTACGCAACTCCGCTTAATTGGTACCCAGTCTTTGGTAACTCTTTTCACAATGAAGGTCTACTTGTAACGGCCGGTAGAGAAAGTCCAAGGCATTGTCCCATATTGTCGACATCATGATCAAGTTGTAAGTGTACATCCTACCCGATGAATCTATCAACTAGAGCTCGGATCAGACCAAATACATGTAACATGAAAAATGAAACCTGTGATGGTTTTGTGCACTTTTTAAAATCATTCTTGACTAAACAATAGACCGGTTTATTAACATATTCAAATTTGTGGATGCTTCTTTCATTAAACTTTTATTTATGCATAAACTAATACATGGAATCCTGTCTAAATGCATTACTTGTTGGTACGTCGGACAAGCTTCAAGTTGTCAAGAACAACCTTTGTTTAAAAAGTATGCATAAAATTTGAATATGTTGGTGACCGGTCTATTGTCCAAATCGGCCTTACTTTCACTGTGAGTCGTGATCAGTAGCGCATCCTGGTGGGGCCGAATCGGCCGCCCCCCTTTTATAGCGCTCAAGGGGAGGGGGGTGCTATTTTTCAAATTTCCGAGGCCAAACAAAAATAGTGCTCCCTAACCCCCCCCCCGCCCTCCGCTTTTTCACCGGGTGGCTGTTTCACCGCTAAATATTTTCTCACGATTTGGGCCCCCTCTTTAGTCCCCTCCCCTGCTGCCGGCTGGATCCGCCCTGCCTGTTTACAAAGGAGAATGGGCACTTGTCGAAAAAAAAAGGGCCATCAATGAGATTTTGATGGAGGGATTTATCAGACGTGTGAGAAGGGGCTTTAGGGAATTTAATCACCTAAATAAAAGAAATAGAAATAGATTTCTTTCCTACCTTGTCTCGTAGAAACACCTGTTGAGTACAAATACTTGGAACATAATATATTATATTATATCACAAGTAGTAGTTCAAATATTGCACAGCACCCGTAGAAAGAATATGTAAGACCATGTACAAAGTAATGACGCTTCTTTGCGAATTAAGTAAGGAAGAAGAAACTTATAATCTCTATAAAGTAATAAGGCCTCAGAACCGAGTAGAGAAACAAGCGAAGAAATAGGACAAGAATTAAGATGAAGCTGAATTAGCTTTGCTGTAGATCGACTCTCTAGAATACGTGTGCTCTATATGAACAGCTCAGGAGAAGTGATGAAAATAGGTGTGGCAAATAAAGCAAGCAAGTGTAATGTGCCTGTATAAGCTATACCACTAGGTGGTTGCACATCCCAACCCATAGGGTGTGGAACAGTGGCGTAATGAGCAAAAACGTTTGGGGGGGGGGGGGGGGGGGGCTGACAAAAAAAAAAAAAAATCCGCATCACCCCCACTCTAACATGCAGGCCCCGCTGAACGTTTCGCAAAGTGGAGTATAGGGGCGGAGCCCCCGTAGCTCAAGGGGTATGGGCATCAGTGGCGGATCCAGGAATTTCTTACCGGGGGGGGGGGGGGGCACAAAATGCCATGGGGTTAAATATATGTAAAACGATGAAGTGACAGAACGAGGCTTTAGCGGCGAGGGAGCGGAGCGACCAAGCGGGGGTGGGTCTGGGAGGGGGTTCTGGCCCCCTCCGAGAGTAAGAAGCATTTGCAATTTAAGAACCAAATTAGACGCATTTTCAGGCACTTCCTGGAGTAATATGACGTAAAATTGCTTTCTCCTACACCTTCCAAGAGTAGGGATCTTTTACAATTTGAGAACCACATTTGGCGCATTAATGTCCAACGGCACTTCCTGGAAAAAAAAAGAGGCCTTCTGATTGGTTAGAAGTTAGAGAAAAGTGATCTGTCAGGTCGTGAGACGTTGTATATGCTTTGATGCCGCACAATGCACAAAGACGGTGGTCCGGTAGGCTACTTCATCAGCAGTACTTGCAAAAATTATCTCGAGTGTATAAACTGTGTCGTTATCAGGGCGTCGCTAGAGAAGACGATTCATTGTACCGGTCCCGACTCATAATCCTCTTCTGGATCCAGTCCCCTCCCCCCTCCCTCCCGCGCGAAACGCGGAAGATTTGACGTTTTAAAAAATTATTACTCTTAATCCTTGTCTGAATTTATTTTCGGCCATTCCGCGCGAAGCGCGGAAGCTTTGACGATTCATGTTATTACTCTTAATCATTGTCTGAATTCATTTTCGCCCATCTCGCGCGAAGCGCAGAAGCTTTCACGTTTTATTAAATTATTATAGAGAAAGAAGACGATTCGTTGTATCGTATTCTTGTCTGAATTCAGTTTACCCCCTCCCGCGCGAAGCGCGGAAGCTTTGACACTTCATAAACTTATCAGAGAAAGAAGACGATCCGTTGTACCGTTCTCGACTCTTAATTCTCGTTTCGCCCCCTCCCGCGCAAAGCGCGGAAGCTATAGCTTCATTTAATTATTAGAGAAAGAAGACGATTTATTGTACCGGTCCCGTTCCAGTTCTCCCCCCTACCCTCCCTCCCTCCCGCGCGAAGCCCGGAAGATTTGGCGTTTCAATAAATTATTACTCTTAATATTTGTCTGAATTCATTTTCGCCCATTCCGCGCGAAAGCTTTGAAGATTCATTAAATCATTAATTCAGGACCATGATGTAAAACAGATTTTGTATCTACGATGTATATCTTATTCTTGTTATCCTGAATACATATATTTCAATAAAATAAAAATAAAAATTTAATCTTAATCCTTGTCTCAATTCTATTTCGCCCATCTCGCGCGAAGCGCGGAAGCTTTGACGTTCCAATAAATTATTACTCTTAATCCTTGTCTGAATTCATTTTCGCCCATCACGCGCAAAGCGCGGAAGCTTTCACGTTTCATTAATTTCTTAGAGAAATAAGACGATTCGAGTACCGTTCTCGACTCTTAATCCTAGTCTGACTTCAGTTGCTCCCCCCCCCCCCCACCTCTCGAAGCGCGGAAGTTTTCCCGTTTCATTGAATTATAAGAGAAGAAGACGATTCGTTCTACCGTTCTCTACTCTTAATCTTGTCTGAAGTCAATTTCCCCATTGGGCACAAGTATGGAACGCCCGGCAGTGCTTGTCACAGTTGCTTCTGGAAAGGATTTTTTTTTTTACTAGTGTTACTGTTAGTGGACACGGCCCCTTAGTGACTATAAAAAAACATATGCTCTTCCTGGCTATTTGGGAATGTGTCAGTTTGCAACAGAAATGGAGAAACGCGCATTTTTTTTTAAAAGAATGTGATATCACGAACATTTATACATCACGGAACTAAAAAAAAGTCATGGTTCAATTTTATTTGGGGGGGGGGGGCTGGCGCCCCCAAGCCCCCCACCAGTACGCCAGTGGTGTGGAATGTGCTTGCCAGAGAAAGTATGTGTGGCACTCTAGTAGTGTAACAGGTGTCACTAAAGAAATGAATGATAATGGAATAAAAGGCTAGACTTCAAGCAACACAATAAAGACAAGACAATATCTACAAATGCAGGTCAAGTCACTACAGGGCATTTATGAGAAAGGGAAGTGGCTGTTATTAAAAAAGAAAAAGAGCACTTATTGGGAAGACAAGGGGGCATGTGTCAAAACAAAAGAGGGCACTTATTAGAGGTGAGCATGGGCACTCATCAAAGATGAAAGCGGGCTCTTGTCAGAAGGAGAAGGGGCACAAATTAAAAAAAGAAAAGGGCCCTTGTCTAAGTAAAATGGGCAACACTCAGATTTGAATAGGAGCAATTATCATTGGGGACGGGGGCACTTATCAGAGGTGTCAAGAGGCACCTATAAGAATGTGAAATGGGAACCTATCAGAAATTTAAAAAGGTCACTTATGTGAAGTAAAAAGGGGCACTTTAGGGGGTTCTTGAAAAAAGTGAGGGGATACTGTGCCCCCCCCCCCGCTCCGCCTCCTCCGGCTAGTCAAAGGTTTTTGATTGCTAAATCTCGAGAGCATGTAGGGGCTTCGCCCCTGAACCTCATTCAAAAGGGCCCCCCTACACCTTTGGAAAATCACGTATCCGCCACTGTAGTCGGTGACGAAATAAAATTGAAACCTGATAATTGTGAAAAAAAAGATTAACAGTTTTGCCGTTTTTGCATTCATTCCAAACGAAATCTTGATTTTGTCGGCACGAGTCGGAAAATCTTAATTCCCCCTCCCACCATCATAGGCAACTGTCATTAACCAATTCAATAAAAGCAGAAGAAGAAGAAGAAGAAGAAGAAGAATGGCAACTGTGCGCAACAAAGGACTGATCGTATCCACTGAGCTCTGTGTTGAAAGATTCAGAAATGTGAAGCGGATTACACTTTATGTCATCCTTGCAAAATGGCCCTAGTGACTACTTTTTAGCAAACAGTGCATACATATGTTATTTCTTGATTAGTTTTCCTGGAAATTGAGTGTTTGTTTGCATTTATCATTTAATCAATGAAGGTATAACCATATGTTTTTCAAGGTTTCAGTTGTTGTTCTGCCAAGCTGTGCAAAAAGAAAAATGGTACATTAATTACACCTGTACAACGACAAGTCCTGGCCATTTAGTTCCATATGTTGCCAATCCCATCTTAGATTGAGTATTTGTGATCATTATATTCAGTTAACCTGCACACACCCCCAGTATAGTACGATAATACTCTGTAAAGAGGTCTGTACTCAAAAGGAAGAAGAAGAAGAAGAAGAAGAAGAAGAAGAAGAAGAAGAAGAAGAAGAAGAAGAAGAAGAAGAAGAAGAAGAAGAAGAAGAAGAAGAAGAAGAAGAAGAAGAAGAAGAAGAAGGAAAAAAAAACTTTAATTACATTTTTTTTCTCAAGCTGCCTTCCTCGACCCCCCCCCCCCCCCCCCCCATATTCCCTTTTCTTGTTCTCGACTACGCATTGGCATGGCGTGCCGCGCCCTAGCTAGTCACCGCTGCTTTGTACGTGTATACTTTATATACAAACTGGAAGCAGCGAAACAACAAAACTGTTCAAAGTTGTGGCGCCTCAGCTCCGACAACTGTTAACATGATTGTTTAATCGAAGTTCTAGGCATTGATGGGCTACTGTAATTAATGTAAGTAAAACTACCAATTATTTTGATATAAACGTTATTTTGATGATGCATAATTGTTCATTTTGAAGTGTAATATGCCGAAATACTATCTGAAACTGTAAGTTAATTATTTTATACTGTCCCATACCTTAATATTGGTGTTTGTTGGAGCCAATTTTTTGGGGGGCGACAATGCACTTCGGCAACAGGATGGCGTCTCACGAAACCGTCATAAGTAGCCTTAAGAGCTTGGTGGTAATATTTTTATGATCTTGATATCACCAAGCCTTAAACGGCTCCCATACAAGCATGCGGAGAGCCATGTATGATGTAGAGTAAAGGAGGGGGTTTTCGGCCACTTGTTAAGTCTTAAGAATAAGACAAAATCCTATTTTTTTTGGGACCCTTTACTACTACACTCCAGCAAAGCATAGAGAGTCAATGCTAAAGCGTATTGACCTCTAGCACTGCATACATGCTGTGAGGCAGGGACCTAGAAGTCTATACACAAATATACACACCACACAATATCGCATAGACTGTACACAATCATGTCGATGCAGCTGTAAGCTAGGCAAATTCATGCAAAAAAATATATTCAAAAAATTGACTTGAAAACACATCAGACAATTAGTCTGAACCGAGTCAGGAGCAAATTTGAAGAAATTATATTTTTAAATGTTGTAAAACCAAAGATATAAGAAGAAAACTGACCAAGTATCTGTACTAAAAATCGTACATGTAAAATTGGTCGTAGACATTCGACAGCTGAATATGACGCGCACGGTTGCATAACGTGCGTTCTCGAATCCAAAATCGTACCTCACACACACAATCTCGCCATACCGCGAATGGTCCGTCTTGGGGAGCTATCCGGCTGAGAGTTTGCAGCGATACCAACGCAGCTTCGGAGCTCCGCAGCGCGCCGAAAGGTTTGCGATGGGAAGGCAGCGGCCTAGCATTTTGCCCAAACAACGCTAGATCGGCTGCTGGCAAAATGAAAATAACTACGATCGAGAACATCGTCGGTTTCTTAACTTTTCAGTGAGATAATTCTGAATTCTAATTGAGACTATATAATAAATTAAATCGACAAAGAAACCTCGGTAGAACTCTTATAACTATACAAAAGCTTGTTTATTTCTTCATTTGACATTTTGTTTTCGACCATTTTTTCGTGCGCGAGTCAATGTAAACTATGTATTACCAAACTTTCAACACGCAAGGAACGGGGAACACTCGCGGACCTCGTAACAAATTTGTTGCAAAAAAAAATTTCGAGGGTGATTTTGAAGCAGTGAAGAACATTGGCGCTGCAATGCGCAGAAATATACTTGAAAGAAACTTAAAAAATAATACCTGAATTTTCAGAAAATCGTATTTGTATTAGTGTACCTAGATGTGACTTGGTTATAAATCAGATTTTATGAAGATTTGTCGGGAAAAAATGTCAATTTTTTCCGTTTGGTGGTCATTTCTAGGCTAATATTTTAAAAGTTGCATCAGTAATGGGCCCGATGTTTCTCTTATGGTACTCGCATGTTATTTCTACATAGATGGTTAAGGGTAAGACCAGATAACATTATAAAAAAGATATATCCTTCCACCCTCCCATATCCTAGTTTTGGGCTGATTATTGCCGACCCACTGCAGCAAGGCCATTCAGATTTTCGTACGCGCGCAAAGCGCCCTCTAGTGCCCCATGAATGTGCCTATGTAAGCAAAGTTTGACACTGTCACTAGACTTACAATTTGATTTTTTTAATTATTCTTTTTAACATCAGTAAGTTAAAAAAAATGTATTTTACTGCTATTTAGGTGTCATTGATTGTCACTAAAGTACCGATTTTGAGTGAAATCAGTTGAGTTTTGTACAGTGGTGTTTGAAATGTTGAGAATCAAAAGCACAGCTTTTACTACACAGGCAGGATAGTGATGCTCTTATGTGTGTACTACTAGGGTGTCTGAATGATTTTTCAATTTTCAATTTGGGATCGTTTTTCACCATTTTTGTTTGATATTTGAATAAAAAGTGTAATCAGAATAATACATTTCTTCTTCTTCTTCTTCTTCTGTACATGTCGACAGACTTGTTAGTCCATATAAAGACACGGAAACGAAGCACGTGGTCATGGAATAGAGCAATCTTTTAGGAATTGTAGCGCATGGGACCTAAAGGAATCAATTGATCCTGTGTTGATAACGCTATTACAGAGCTGCCAAGTAGTACGTTTTTAACGTATTAATACGTTTTTTTTTGGGAAAATACGTCTGTACGTTTTGCTGTGCCAAAACACGTTTTTTGAAAGTTTCGTGTATGGCTGTGCGAACGTGGCTAGCGGCTGGCTGTGAGATCCAGCGTATGCATAGTTTTGCTATTGCTTTGTGTCGGCGATTCCTGCAGCGTGCACGCATGTACATTGCACACAATACAGGGGATGTACACCACTCAAAGACGAGCGCATTTCCCCAGGCCATCCATACACACGCTAATGACATATATCATCAGTGCACTGCAATACACACACAGTGTCAGTACAAAAAAGTCCCGATTTTACTACCAAATCCATCCCAAAAGCCAAATTTTGCTGTCAAAAATGCGGAATCGAAGCCATATTTCTAAAGCTCACGGGGGCTTAGCCCAGTTTTAAGAAACAGCTTCACCAAAAAAGCGCTAAAAATCAGCGATTTTGTTACCAGTTTTTTTGCCTATCGCAAGCCCTTCGAATGTGATGGTATCTTCAAAAAGCCAAATGAAAAAAAAACACGGACCTGCTGATGCATTGACTTCATGTACAAAGTTGATAGCAACTCTAGACTTGCCTTGTGCCGCAACTTAGGCATAGAACATCATCGTGTGTTGCGCCACAACACACAATGATTCTTTTAGTTTTAAATAATGGACTTTTCTGATAAAATAGCTAAATATATTTAACAATCTTTTTTTTTTTTTTAATGATTTTTTTTTTTTTTTTTTTTTTTTTTTTAACTGACAGGTCGGCAGCTCTCAATGATTGAAAGCGTTTTTATTCAAAGAAACATGATTGCAGTAGCATTTTATAGGGAAAATAACAAAAAACGTAAAAACAGGCAAAATATGGTTTTTCACCTAAAAATATGTTTTTTCAAGCTGAATAATATGTTTTTTTAATGTGACAGGTTGGCAGCTCTGCTATTAGGTAACTAAATCCAGTTCTCGCACGTTTGAAGTTTGAAGCTTCACCGATGTTTCTATCAAAAGATACAGCCCCTCCAAAACGATGGTATATTCATATCATTTTGGTCAGAATCGACGAAAAAGACGTCCACGCAGAGTGATGTTGTTTTGCTAAATTTAGCCAAACAGCTGTATTCGCACGATATGCAAGCGTATGCATATTGTACGCATGCTGCTAAGCCAAAGCGCAACTTGCAGCTTGAGCCACGTTGTCTCCGCGATGCCTGCCATTGACTAGTACAGGCCTCGAATTACATCAAATTTGGGTCAAGGCCACTTTTTTGAGAGGGCACAAATCCACTGAAAGGGGCACAAATCTATCCTAAGGGGCACTAAGGCCAACGTGGAAAGTGCGCGTAAAATCACCTCACGCCGTTGTTTTCAAGGTGGGGGGGGGGGGGGGGCACTTTTTTCGCAACGACTCAGCTAGCCGCTGAATAAGCGGGGGGGGGGGGGGGGGGGGGGTAAGAGGACACTTTTTTTTTTTGGTCTCGAAATTTGAAAATTTGACATTTTGTTCCCTTTGGGGTAGGGGGGAGGGGTGGGGGGGGGTGAGGTCACCTTTTTTAGATCAGCCATTGGCATAATTTTTTTGTGTGTGTGTGTTTCATTTAAAAAAACCGAAGGGGGGGGGGGTTTAACGCCCCAACCCCCCCCCCTGCGTACGTGCCTGCTCGTCTGAATACAGTTCCCCTCCCTCCGCACAAAGCGCGGAAGCTTTTACGTTTCATTAAATCATTAGAGAAAGTAGAGGATTCGTTGTACCATTTTTTACTCTTAATCCTCGTCTAAATTCATCCCCCCCCCCCTCCCCCGCAAAGCTCGGAAGCTTTTACGTTTCATTAAATCATTAGAGAAAGAAGATGATCCGTTGTCCCGTTCTTGACTCTTAATCCTCGTCTGAATTCAGTTCCCCCCCCCCCCATTTGTGCGCGCAAAGCACGAAAGCTTTTACGTTTTATTAAATCATTAGAGAAAGAAGACAATTTGTTGTATCGTTCTCGACTCTTAATCCTTGTCTAAATTCAGTTACCCCACCTCCTGCGCGATCGAAGCGCGGAAGCTTTGAGAAACAAGACGATTCATTGTACCGTTCTCGAAAATAATCCTTGCCTGCAAGAATACAGTTTTCCCCTTCCCGCGCAAAGCGCGGAAGCTTTTATGTTTCATTAAATCATTAGAGAAAGAAGACGATTCGTTGTACCGTTCTCGCCTCTTAATCCTTGTCTGAATTTCAAAAATGTTTTTTGTCTGCTCCTTTTTCTTCATACGTCCTCTTCCTTTTCTCTCCTCTCTTTTTTTGGCTTTTTTTTTGGGGGGGCGCCCCCACTGCCCCCCCCCCCCCCCCCCGGCTACGTACCTGCGGTCAGATGAACATCTTTTGATACCTTGTTCGCCCCCCGGAAACTCATGGGTTGAAGGCAAATTACGGTCAGATAAGCATTCAGGGGCCCGCCTCAGGGCCCCTGGTGGAGTCGAGGGTGCGAAAACCCCTGAATTTCAGGGGTTTCAGGCATTTGATTACGGTCAGATGAACATATTTTTATACCTTTTTTGTGACACTGGCAGGATACCGATTGGCGTGAGGTCCAGCGGGCGGAGCCCCCAGAAGCCCATGGGTTTAAAGCATTACATTACCGTCAGATTAGCATCCAGTGGGGTCCAGGGGGCAGAGCCCCCGGAAGCTCAGGGGTTTAAGCATTTGATTACGGTCAGATGAACATGTTTTTATACTTTATTTGTGACACTGGCAGGACACTGATTGGCGCGAGGTCCAGCGGGCGGAGCCCCCAGAAGATCAAGG